GCCCCCATCCCCAAACCCTCACCCTCCATACGGCTGCTGTTGAGCTCCATGGCCGCCCTCAGCGCCATCCCTCGATCAAACCAGCAATGACCATGGGGTCCCCTCGTCAGCCCCTCCGTGCCTTGGGGATGGGGGGTGTTCCATGTGGCATGACTCTCCCCACCTCCGTAACCCGTCCCTCCCATCCAAGCCATCCCAGGGTGCAAGGCAGTACCCAGTCACACCAAGCGGTGGGGGATTCGGGACCACCCGGCGGTCCTCACCTGCCACCAGTTGGGGTCGTCCTGGTTGACGATCTGCAGCAGGTCTCCTGCCGTGAATTTTAACCCTGCCTCCTTGCAGGGGATGAGGTTATCGCTGGCCGGGTCATAGTCAAAGTGGGACTTCACAAACACCTACGGGGAGAGCGGAGGGGGGGGGGGTCAGCCCCAGGCAGGGAGAGCAGAGGGGCCGAGCTCTTTGGAAAATCCAGGCCTCGCTGGGCTGGGCCGAGCACCTGGAAATCCATTTCCCCACTCCCTGGGACGGGTTGGAGCCGGGAGCGGCTGTGACAACCGGCCCTGCTTGTGAGCTCCGCTGTGAAAAGCCAGGGAAAGCGCGTGACAGAGATCAGCGGGTCTCAGACTGTGGGTCGGGGCCCTGTTGTAATGGGGTCACCAGAGCTGCTGTTAAACTTGCTGGGGTCCAGGGCTGAAGCCAAAATCCAAGACCCACCACCCAGGGCTGAATCCATAGGCACCGACTTCCCATCTTCCTAGTGGGTGCTCGACCCGCCCCCTCGCCCCTGGCCCCGCCCCAGCCCCACCTTTTCCCGTACCACCCCCATTCCACCCCTTCCCCAAAGTCCCCTCCCCACCCCGCCTTTTCCCACCCCAGCCCTGCCCCCACTCCACCCCCTTCCCCCAAGTTCCCGCCCCTGCCCTCCCTCTTCTCTGCCTCCTCCCCGCTCCTCCCCCTCCCTCCCAGAAAAGTCCTAAGCGCCACCAAACAGCTGTTAGGCGGCGGGGGGGGGGCAGGAAGCGCT